AAACGATGCTATTTCGACTATAAGCAAATAAACAGTTCATTTGATAACTTAATTTGCTTATAACATTAATAAATAATATTTTTTAAACAATATTTATAAACAGTTAATAGTATGTAAATCAAAAGCCAGTAGAAAAGAAACAAATTTTGTTGTACACTTTTTTGAACAGCAAATTGCAGATTCAAACCACAGTGTGTCGCGCAGTAAACAAACGTGCCGCTTGGTAGAAAAAAATTAATAACTTTGCTCCTAATTGCGGGACACTAAATTTTTATAACGGTATGGAATCGTTATAAAATATCCTTTACGATGTAATTTGAACAAACTTCCTACGACGTTAAGAACATTGTTTATTTTATAAATAACCAATTAAATTTGCAATAACAATTACAAAAATTAAACAATTTAATTTTTTAATTATTTCATTGAAACTACATCATTTTCTGAGTATACATACACGGAAAAAAATTTCCTGTGAAAATTACAAGATTTCCTGTGCCATCTATGATTGTAGTGATTGTAGTATCCACAAACGGCTGAGTTTGGGAAATACACAAACCAGACTGAGTCTTGTCACAAACTTCAGCTTATGATTCAACAGCTTAAACAGTCACGCAGCAGACGACAAGCAGACGTTCACTTGAATTTTCTTGCGCATGCGTGAATTTCTTGGTGTTATTACAGATTGGTTTGTGGTACACCCAAACCAGCTTGTTGGAAACACAAAACTCGCCTGCATAAAGCACAACTTAACCTATATTTGTATATTTTACAAAAAAGTTTGTGTTTCCTATAAGAAATTTTTTTCCGTGTACTAAATTGTATGACGATTCGTTTATTCTGTTCCGAGATATTAATTTTTTAATAAATCACTGCAAAAAACTTCAATTGTTTATAACTGAGTGAAATCTAATTTTTTTTGAAAAATCCATCTAGGCATTTAATTATCTCATAATTATGATTCATTTTCATGTACTACCAAGTAAATACAGTAAATCTCAGCTGTTACACTTCAGGAATTTTTACTCACGTCTGTTTTCGATTTACACTACCAAGTTTTTGTAACTTTTTTTAAAGTCTTCCTTAAATTTTGCCACAGATACCATAATTTGTGGCAACCATTTTTTTTGTTATTTATTTTTTTAGCGCACTTTGAACTATTTTTTCGTCGTGTTTATTTAATTTTATTAAGTAAACACGCGAAAATTTGAAGGTTAGTTTAAGTAAAAAACAAATGAATTTCACATAATATTCAATGGATTTTTGTCCCTGGCTTTTTCACCCCCAAGACCAGTTTTTCTAAAAGCTATAATAAATTTTAAATTTAGTTCAATTTCTAAAAATTAACATTGTATACGTTTTGAGTATAGTTTTCTCCTTATGTACAAACATTTACTTTTATTACCCGTTCACTCAAACAGGTTGTAATATGTTCGAAAAGTTCATCGAAAAATTATACGCAGAGAAACTCAAAAATTAAAATTACAATAAAAACTATATGAAGAGGTACAACATCCAAACTAGAATCAAAAGTTGCGTATTATCTAATAGTATTTATATTCTAAATGGCTTATAAATCAATTTAACAGTTTTTAAATAAAAGCCAAATGGCTTTTTTGCACCTTGGCTATTTCACCCCGTTCTACTCTACTATTTTTTTGGAATTCACTAATTGCTAGTCATCTTGTTCATAGAAAATGAAGTAGTTAAACTGTTTAAAAAAACTTACAGTTCTTCTAACTTTTAGTAAAATTTCATTCCAATCAATTATTTATGACAAGAGAAACAAGTCTTGACGGTTACTACAGGGTGTCTACTATTTTCGTTTAACAAAATTCCCGGTTATTTCCCGGTTTTTCCCGGCTATATCCTAATTTTTTCCCGGTTTTTTTTCTTATCAAATTTAAATTTAAATTTGATTTCAAACATAAATAAATCATTAAATTTTTTGAAAATAATGTTTTTTTCAGTAATTTTAATTAAAAACTTGGAAAATACTTGAATTAAACAAAGAATTTTTTCAAGTTTTTAAAAATAATCTTGTCTCTTTATAATTATAATTGAAAATTGGATTTTTCAATTTTATTAAAATTACATTGATAATAATTGAACTTCTGCAAAGAATTTTACTATTTATAAAAATAATTGAATCCTTCCAAAGAATGCTATTATTTATGAAAATAATTTAATTCTTGTGAAGAATTTTATTAAAATTTTTGAAAATAATAAGCAGCAATAATTAATTCTTTACTTAATATGTAATAAACATTTAATTTGCTCAAGAAATAAATAAATATCATTTATTTGAACATTCAGAAATTTGAAATGATAAAAATTTAAGAGAAGATTAATAATTATAATTATTAAATAATAATAGAATAGTATAATTTTTAGAAGCAAAAAATTGATTTAAAACTGTAAGAGGGACTTTAAATTTCAAAAATAAAATTATAATTATGGTCACTAACTTCCCTTGATTATTTTCGAAAAATTTAAATAAAATTCTTTAAAAGAATTCAATTATTTTTCAAAAAAAGTAAAAAAATTTCAATGATTTGTTTAGAAAAATTCAATTATCTTGAAACAATAGAATTGAAAAATTACAACAATTTTATTTTTTAGACTTAAAAAAAATTTTGCGAAAGTTTAATTTTATTAAACAATTTTAAGTATGTATATTTTTTTAAAATAACTAATAAAAATTTTAATTATTAATCTTCGGAGTAAGAAACATGAATACATTAGAATTTTACTCTTTATAATATTCAATTATTAATCAATTATTAAATTAAAATACTTTGAAAATTCTATTTGTTAAAAAGTTTCTAATGAATTTCTTTAACAAATTTAATTACATATTTTCAGCCGAATTTCACAATATTTCTATTAACTCCATAATTTTTTTTAAATTTATTTACATAATATATTTGAATTGGTAACTGATTTTTTATCATCAAATTAATTATTTTTAACTAACTTAAATTTAGAGAACAGTATAAATATCTATAAAAATTGAAATAAAAATTGATTTTTTAAAAACAAATTAAAATAATAAAACTTTTTTAATTTTTGTGAAAAAATTCCCGGTTCGGTATAAAATTCCCGGCTAATTCCCGGTTTTTCCCGGTCAAATAAAATTCCCGGTTATTTCCCGGTTTTCCCGGAATTCCCGGTTAGTAGACACCCTGATTACTAATATTGATTTATTTAAAAAAATTTGTCCAATTATACCTACAAAATTTATGAAAATTAGATTTAATTATTATTTCTTATAAAAAGAGAGAATAAGATCGTGGCTGTAGCAATTAGCAGCTATTCGTGTTAAATTTTACTCTTTATTGTACAGTATATTAAATTATTTATTCCACATTTTTGAAATTTAAAGCTGTTCTCTATTTCGCGTAAATCAAAATAAAAATTCAAATAGGTATAAATATCATTTTCCCCATGTGAATTATAAAAGAAGCAAAGTACCTTTCATTTTATTTTTATCTTCCGTTTCATTCATCTCCTTTTCTGTCATGTCATGTTTAAAGAACTGTCCCGGGATACATGTTATACGTTGCAGGAAAGAATGTTCTCCAAATTAAAAATTTGTTTGAATTCAAAAGGAGTTTACTTATCGAAAAATTAACTTTTTAAAGTTGACAATTTTTTCATTTAAATATTAATTTTCAAGAAAAACAAACTGAACACATTTTAAAACATTTTATTCCCTTTTTATCTTTAATCCGTTTGTTATAGTAATAATATTAATTATTATTATTAGTTATTAATTTTTAGTATTTATTTATTAATTAATAATAAATAATGAACAAAAATAAAAATTTATAAAACTTTATGTCTCTAAAGTTTTAAACTTCCAAGTTAAGTAATTTATTCACTTTTTCTTCAAATTCAAATTTTATTACCAAGAATTTTGCGTCACGTAACAAAAAAATAAATAATTATTCAATCTTATTTTGCTTTTCATTGCAGTCAGAAATATTTAGAAGTATTTATATCGTCAAAAATTGTCGTTTATTTGAATGTTTAAAACTCATGAAATTTTTCCTAAATTTGCATATATAATAAATAACTAATACCTAAAGAAAACTATTAATACTACAAATGTTAATTATAAATAAATTTAGACAAGTGAAAAATCGTACATTTTTAAAATTCGAAATAAAAAGAATTTAGAGAATATTCATGCTTTTCAAAAAGCCAAATGACATTTTGTTTATAATCAAGTCGTAATCGTGAATCTGAAAACTAAATTATAGATTTTATTACCTCGTAAATATATCAGTCACTTGATTTTCCATTATCATGAAGCATCCAGCGTTTAATTAATGGAGTCCCTACAGTACAAAATTTGCTTTGCTGAACATGAACACGCGTGAAACATTCATAATTCTCAACAATACAATTCTGCACATGTTGTATCCGTATTTCAAAACATAATTTCCATGCGCTATGCATAAGCCGTAAAACTTGCTCTCTGTTCTCTCCAAGTGCAAAAAGAAACGAAAAAAACAAAGTGCGCGATTTGAAAAGAATCTTTTCGCCAATATGATGCACTTTCCAAACATCAATTATCATTTGTAAAAAATTTCAATCGCATCAAAAGATAAAAAACGGAAGTTGCAACAATCATGATTGTACATGTATGGTGTACGGAAAATATTGTAAGATAATAAAGGATTTAAAATGCACCGTTAAGTGAATATTATCCTTATAGACTTCCACAAGTGGCAGACGTAAAACTAGTGGAGTCACAGCAAAAGATCGATAAATCCCTTTCGAGGCTTTAGATATATTAGGAAAAAAACGTGTCGCGATATTATTTTTTTCAAAAATATATTTTCATCATGTTTCTTTCACGTCTCATGTAAAGCAAATGACAAAGTTGACAACACAAAATTATTATCAGCTTATGGAATTTAAAAATAATTGCCAACAATGAGAATGCATAAAATTGACATTCTCAGTAGTAAGTAAATGAAAATAATGTTTACCTCTGCGGCTAAGCAACCCTTTTTGTTACCACTTTATCTCACTTGATGTACTCTAGGTAAAGGACAGATATTCCGTTCTTTGAGCACTTTGTGTTAGGATTTTTTACTGCGAAACACGCGCACAACAAAGCGATTCACTGTTCACGAACAATTAGTAACACGATCGAATTAAATTCAACCCGAAATACGCGTATTTTCACACTGAAACTAGTAACACTCCATGTCCCTGCCCTTTTTCCATAGCCCCGACGGCCATTTTCCTCTTTACGTTATTCCCCACCAACCCCTTCTCCGCGGTGTCGACGTACACTTCCCGAATGCGCCGAGAGCGTAAATACATCCTGTGGTTTATTTGTCGGTACTGCAGAGCCAACGTAGGAACATTCGAACTTGTGGCGTTATCTGTTGGCAAATCTCGCTACTGTTAAAGGTATATATATTTTTTAAATTATTTTTCATTTTGCTAAATATTTTCTATTTGATTATGTAATCTTATTAGAGAAATAGAGGTGTTTTAAATTCGATTTCTTTTTATTTTTAACATTTTTTTAATTTTATTCAATTTTATTTTATTTTATTGAAAAATGTGTTATAGAACTTTTGATAATATTGATTTTTTTAAAACTAATATACATGCGACAATAACTATTAAAATTTTCTTCTCCTTAAAATTCAACGAGAAATATTTAGAAAATGTTTATGGGTTATTCAATACCACGTGAACAATTTTTTGTCAATTTGTTATCCCCCCCCCCCATATTGTGAACAAACGTGGAAATTTGACAAATTAAATTGATATTTAATAAAAATTAAAGATGTTTACGATATTTCAAAATATCTTAGTTTTATACTACAGGCCTCGTATCAACTTTCAAACACAAAAATTTTCCGCGAAGAAACCTTCTTGTTTAAAATTATCTGAGGATGCCTGTCGTCGACGGGCGAAAGCTAATAAATAATTACAAAATTATATGAATGGATTTTTTCAAAAAACAAAATATTATGATCTCACTAAAATTACAAATCCAAAGAAAATAACATCGTAATACAAAAAAAGTATCTTTAATCGAATTATTTTGTATTTCCCTGATCTTTCAATGATTTCTTAATTAAATTATTTAGAACTTGAATAATTATGTTAAATAATTTAAATAATTCTTTTTTGTTTTTCCATTAAAAGAATTTAAATTTAAAACCTTCTAAAAAATTTAATAATTTTAAAAGATTACAAACATAACCCTCTTAAAATTCAATTAATTTCTACAATTTTTAATTAAACTTAATCTCTAAATCTCTTTTTTTAAAATAATTTTCCGAAAGTTCTTCGAGAATTGAATTATCCAAATACAAAAATTGAATTTTTTATAATAATTGCAACTAAAACTGTCCTTTTTTAAAGTTAATAAGGTATAATATTTTGAAAACATTATAGTAAAGAAATTCTTGAAATTAATTTTTTTTAATATTTTAAAATAATTTTTGAAAGATAATAGTTTTACATTTTTATATTATCTACAATTAAAAAATTTCAAAACAATTAAAATTTTGTAAAATATTTTACAAAAGATTGGATTTTTGAAAAATTTATAAATATAAAAGAAAATAATACATTTTTTGAGAAATTTTAAACATGATTGTTTTCTTCAAAATGTTAAAAATGATTCTCAAAAATTTAAAAAATAATTATTTTCAATTATATTTTACAAAATTTTAATTATTCTACAATTTTTTAATTAATACATCCCAGGTGCGAATTTAGGTTGGCCGCCAGAGTTTGAAGGTTGGCCCAAGGTTGGCCGAACTTTGGCAAGTACTAGTGCCCACAGTTGGCCCGACTTTGCAAGCCAACCATTAAATGCAGAGTTTAACCAACCGTCGGGCCAACTTTGGCGACAAAGGTTGGCACAACTCATCAAAACGTCGTTCAAAAGACTTTCAGTTTCGGTTGGCCGAACTCTGGGCCACGGTTGGCAAAACTCAAGAAAAGCAGTATAATTGACTTATAGTTTTTTGGTCGGCCGAACTCTGGGCCACGGTTGGCCCAACGGTTGGCAAAACTTTGTCAAATGCAGTTTAAATTACTTAAACTTTATTGGTCGGCCGAACTCTGGGCCACGGTTGGCCCGACGGTTGGCAAAACTATGTGAAACGCAGTTTAATTGACTTACATTATTTTGGTCGGCCGAACTCTGGGCCACGGTTGGCCCAACGGTTGGCAAAACTTTGTCAAATGCAGTTTCATTGACTTAAACTTTCTTGGTCGGCCAAACTCTAGGCCACGGTTGGCCTGACGGTTGGCAAAACTTTGTGAAACGCAGTTTAATTGACTTACATTATTTTGGTCGGCCGAACTCTGGGCCACGGTTGGCCCAACGGTTGGCAAAATTTTGTCAAATGCAGTTTAAATGACTTAAACTTTCTTGGTTGGCCGAACTCTGGGCCACGGTTGGCCCGACTGTTGCAGCTTTAATATACATTTTGCGTTATGCACTCCCATGTGAGCGTAGCGTAGTAGTCAGTGTATAAGTCGCTTGCTGGGTGTAAAATCATGATACCTCGGATTAGCGTTGAAAAACATGATACCACGGATTTGATTTGAAAAACATGACATATCGTCGTTTGGTTTGAAGAACATGACACGTCGAAACAAAAATTTTTTATTGAAATTTTGTTTGGTACCACTGACCGCGAAATTTAAAATGATTTGTTATATTACATTTTTAAAAAATATATGATAAGAGATTAAAATCAAAGTAAAATCTTGCACTTTACTCATACACGGAAAAAAAAGTTCACGAATCTCTCGTGAACTAGTATATCACTTTTGGATGGGACACAAAATTTCAAAATTTTCATTCACTTTTGATTAGAAATGGCAAACGTCAACGAAAAACTGAAACAAAGTTAATGAATTTTTGATGAACTGTTAATGAAGAGTAGTTCGTCAAAAGTAGAGGTACAAGTTGACGAAAAAATCGTGAACTCGCGAGTTTCAGTAGTATGCGCAGTTCGTAATGCGCATCAAATATGGCTGATCAAGCATTCATCATTCAGTCGGTGTCATCGGTGTTTACATTCGGGCAAATTCTTTGATGAAAGTTATTATTTAGAATCAGTGTTTTTTATTACTTAGTGAATATTTTTGTTTGCTAATTTCCTTTGTGAAACAAATAATTCATAAAATGAATTAAAAGTTAAGATAAGGGCCTTTTTCTACTTTGCACGGTCCTGAGTTTTACAGCAGACAAAGCTAATCGTTTCGTTTGTCGAAGGACAGTGTATCTAGATTTAGCCGTGGCGGTTAGTTGTTAGAAATATTATGTTATAGGGTATAGGTACTAGGTTCGAATCCCATGAAGCGAATTACGAATTTTAATGGCGATAAAATTGTGTATTCTGTGTAGTTGGGTGCGTAATAGGCGTCAAGTTATCAAATTAAGGGGCCATCCATAAACCACGTAGCCTCTTGAGGGGGAGGGGGGGTCAATCAATTGACTACGACAAGAGGAAAAAATGGCGCTAATACATGTAATAGCGTACTACATGGGGGAGGGGGGGGGGTCAAAATTCCCAAAAAATGGGGCTACGTGGTTTATGGACGGCCCTAAGTGAAATACTATAAAAAAGTAGTGTCTAAAAATTATTTTTTCTTGTTTTTAGCATTTTTTAAAAGTTCACGAATTTTTCGTTAACTTTGACGAAAAGTTCGGAAACCGTACTATGTTTCTAGTGAAGGAGTTGATGAAATTTTGACGAACTGTGTTTGTTGATTTTCAAGAATTTTGTGTCCCATCCAAAAGTGATATACTAGTTCACGAGAGATTCGTGAACTTTTTTTTTCCGTGTATAATTTTAAATATTTCACGACATGAAATTTATTTTAATTCCCTATATTAAAGAACCAGTTGAGACTAGTAGAAATTGAACATGGATCTACTGGTGTCTACTGGTTTTAACTTCGAAATCCGATTTATGTAACTGAAATGAATATCCAATATAAAATTGAAATGGATTTATTCTGGATTGTCCTCTTCAATTTTTGTTTCGACTTGTTTTAACATGGATTTCTAATCTTATAATTTCTACTTGCATTTCCAAGTTCGCACATACTAAAAGTATCAGCTTGCAATTCCAAATACAAAAATTAAGTTTAAGTATCTACTTGGTTCAATTTGGATTCTCGAATACTACATTCTACTTGACATGTCAAATTAAAAATCATCAAGCTAAGTTTAATTTGAATCGGGGATACATTCAGTTCTATGTGGAATTTCAAGTCTAAATTTAAAGAGTTTGATTTATAGCGAATTGGAAGTCACAGAATTGTTATTTTCGCCAATTGTTATTTTGTAAATTGTCATTTTTGCAAATTTCCATTCTTACAAAATATTAATTTTTTCACTGTTATTTTTGCAAACTTGCTTTCTTCGCATTAACAGTCTAAAGAATTGATAGATGCTTCTGCTAATTGTTAATTTTTGCGAAATTGTTTTGTTATGAGTTGTTATTTTTGGTAATTGTTGTTTCGCTAACTTGCATTTCTCGAATTGATATTTTTATGAATTGTAACTGTTGTTATAAAAAATTATTTTACCTTATTCTCCTTCGACCTGACATATTATGAAGCGAAATTATTTATTTCATATAAGTTTCAAATATTTGACACATTTTAAATTTCGCGGTCAGTGGTACCAACCAAAATTTGAATAAAAATTTTTTGTTTTCGACGTGTCATGTTCTTCAAACCAAACGACGATATGTCATGTTTTTCAAATCAAAACCGAGGTATCATGTTTTTCAACGCTAATCCGAGGTATCATGATTTTACACCCAGCAAGCGAAGTCTTCGGTGCGTTAGGTTAGGGGTTCGATCCCAGCGAGCGTTAGATATTTTCGAAAATGTATGTATGAGATTGTGTTTAATAATAATAGGTAAAGGTTATATCTGATGTTCCCGCTAATAATAACCTGTTAATTGTTTAAATAATTTAGTTTTTTAATAATTTTTTACCTTTGGCTGTTGAAGTTGGCCAAACTTTGAAAATTGTGGTTGGCCCAACTTACGCATCTAAAGTTGTGCAAACTTTGGCGTCAGTCTTTGGACCAACCATTGAAATGTATAGTTGGCACAACATATGCATTGTAAGTTGGGCCAACTTCCTTATGAGTTGTCGGGCCAACCATCGTCGCCATTAGACGGCGACCGTTATCATCTGTATTGTTGGCCCAACCTCTGGCACGAGAAGTTGGACCGACTTTGTAAAAGTTGGCCCAACTATGGGCCGACCAAAAAATCGCACCTG